CAGTTACAATTAAAGTGTCAACCTTAGATACATGGACGCATTTGAGTACAAGGAGTATGGCAAACAGTTCTGTTTGAAGGGTAGAGGCCCAGTTATTGATGCGTGCTCCAATTTCTTTATGAGAGCATCACTCTGTGTGACAACAGCAGCACTACCAGCTGCACCAGTGGACTGGTGAACAGAACCATCAACGTAAATAATTTGTGAAAGAGTGTTCTGCGTGACTAAGTTATCAATACAGCTTAAGGCATCATGTTTGGCTTCAAGACGAAGCTTTGGTTGTGATTTAAGAATAGTTTTGGGAGGAAATGGAGGAATGGTAGTTTGGAATGGGGTAATATCCCATGAAGCAGGGAAATGTCTCTGTTGTCTAACTTGATATAGATCATGTAGCTGGTTCATGCGGAGGACGGGTCCAGTTTTTTCGATCCATCTGGAAGGATGTTCACCAGTGCTGAGGAAAGTTTGGAGGGCTTCTGTGCAGGGGTTTGAATGGGTTAACCTAAGCATATTGACCCCAATAATGATATTTCTTTCAGTAACACGATCTCTAATGCTTGGAATATTAAGTTCTTTCTGCATATTTAAAATTCTTGCAGTTTTTCCAGCCGTCCAAGCTTCCAGTCAGACACGAGTGCAAGTAGTGGCGCCGCATACAACCAATGATCTAATATGAGCAAGATACATCATCTTCACAATTTTAACATTAGCTCCACACCTGGGATGAAAACCTGCCACAACTCTAAGTGTTCTCAGCCTTTCTTTGTATTGGCGACAAGGTAGTGTCGGGCAGAGGGAAGTTTTTACCTCCTTTGTCCCACTGGGGACTGTAACATTAGAGAAAACGGACTGTAGCAAGGGCTAACTATACAAGATCACTCGGATCGTATGCAAAAAAAACTGAAAAAAGAAAACTCAATTGGGTGCTTTTTCGCTGAATATCGTGGAAGCAAGTTATTGACTTACTTCATACCGTATTACTGTTAATATTGAATGGACTGAAAGGACTTTCATAGTGAAGGCACAACAATGAATGTTTTACAAGCTGGCAATGAGACTTTTGAAATATCCCAAATATGTTTTTATTTGTGGAGGAAACAGGCCGATATTTTGCTAAATAACAAAGACTTGCCAACTATATTTTTGGGGGGATGAAGATAAAGTAGATTACAGTATTTCCCACCACCCAAAATTCGGATTAGCCAAAGAGGGAAGGAATATAATGGACCAAACGCCCAAAGTAGAAGAAAGAAAACCCATAGATGAAAAAGGAAAAAAAGAAAAAGGAGAAGAGGTAGGAGGAGAAAAAAGAATCAAGTTAAGTCACGGGCGTTCTGAAGTTAGAAGCATTAGACACTGTAATGGGAAAGGAAGGCATCTACAGAGACAAAGCCAGGACTAAGATTTATACAAGGAAGTTGTGTATAAGGGAGGATTCAACCAGATGGTAACTGTGAAAGTTGGAAGTAGGGAAGACAGTTTTAGCAGAAGACTAGTCAATAGGATGGCTGTGATCTCTGACGTGACAGAATGAGCATTTTGGTGTCGGAAAGCCTAACACTATTTTTTGTACTCTTTGAGTCTGTCAGAAAGAGAACGCCAGTTTCTCCAAAGTACTGAAGAGGACAAGAGTAACATTAAATAGAGTAGACACCAGGAACATCTATAGTGGGAGGAGAGATATAAACTAGACTGATACAAAGAATGTTAGTCTGGCGAAAAGTTTGATGTCTAAGGAACTGTTAGAGTTGAGATTAGAAAGACTGGAAATATAGGGAAGTCAGAGAACAGGAGTGTAGAGTAGAGAGTTTGGGAGAGAAGAAAGTCCTTTTTAGCACTTAAAAAGGCAGAGTTTATGAAATGGGAAGGGTAGCCAAGACGAGAGAATGAGTTACAAGGAGTGGAAATTTCCGACTCAAGGAACTGAAGATCAACAATGCGGAGGGCACGGAAAAAGAGAAAAATAAGAACACTTTTCTTGACAGAGGAAACATGATAAGAAAAGCAGTGAATGTGCATGCCACTGTGCATAGGCTCGTGGTACACAGAAAACACAAAACCTGTATCTGAGAAATGGGCATGAATATCATGAAAAGGAAGCAAAGAATTTGATTCCCATTCAGCTTTATACTTAATGGAAGGAGCAAAATTATTATGGGCATCGAGGAATGGTTGGAAGAGACCAGAGTCATGGGGCCAAAGAGCAAAAAATGTCATCTACATAGTGGAGCCAGAGGAAAGGGCGCACATCAATGTAAGGAAGTAGAATAGTTTCGAAGTATTCCATATGAAGGTTAGCAAGAACAGAAGATAAAGAGGAGCTCATAGCGACACTGAGGGTTTGAGAATATATGCCTTGGAAAAAAAGGAATTTGAGTCCACACAAAGGCAAATAAGATCAAGAAAGACATCAGCAGGTATAAGGAGATGAAGTAATCCTTCATTGGCCTTCTCTCTGAAAAAAATTAAGAATATCATCAAGAGGTACATCACCCTCTCCCAACATCTTACAGGTTGGGAGAGGGTGAACAAGTTAGTTTCCTGCTGAAAGGTCTCTTGATGCGATCAAGAGGGTTGGAAACGAGAGGAATGTAGGTACGTGAGGTACAAGACTTCAGCTTTGCAGAGATAATCCTTGCGAGCAATGATAACTACCGAATTACCTTTGTCGGAAGAGAGAATGACAATGTTAGTATTAGATTTAAGAGAAGAAAGGGCACATTGATATTAGCGAGGAAGATGATAATTCTTAGACAACAAGCAATCAAGAACAGGAACGAGAGCGCCACGAAAAGTGAACAGGTCAGGAATATTACGAGAGTGAGGCTGACGAAAGGAATCAAAAGAGCTAATTAGGTGAGTGCCAGCGTGAGAGGCAGGTGAAGAGGCAAAGGAATGGCCAAAACCAAGAAGTTCAAGCTGATGTTGAGAGAGTGTGACAGAATACAAATTAGTAACACTGAAGTCTCCTCAGAAAATGGAAATACTCCTTCTTATAAGAAGGAGCAATATGCCCCGGCATCCTTGAAGATGGATACCTCAATGAGACTTTCATTCTCCTTAAGAGAGATTTGTTTCCTGCTGATTTGTTTCAGTGAGTATCACAACTTTTTTCCCTAATGGTAGTGGCCTATTCAACTAGCCATTAGGTTAACTAACTTGGGACAAGTAGCCTTTATGTGACCAGGCTTGCGAATAGCAGGTGATGGGTTTGGGATTCTTGTCTCTTGCTCCATTGAGGCAAATGTCATTGTTCACCATACCGGGTTTGAGGCAGATATCGTTGTTCACCATGCTGACTTTGAGGAAGACGTAGTTGTTCAGTTCCAGCCTCTCTATTTGTAATCCAGTCACAGGTTCATCCTTGATGATGTCTGTCCATATCAGGCTGCTAGGAAGAAAGATTACAGGACCATTCGGACGAAGAGCAGTTGGCCTCAAATGGGTCAGCAAGCCTAGCCGCCTCTAATGAAGTTGCCACTGAATGGTCTTCTAAGAATACCCGAACCTGTGGTCCAGTTGACTAAAGTAGGGTGTTAGACCATTTGCACTAATCCACTAGAATCAGTGACACCATTGGCTTTGTACCACTTAATGAATGTTCTAGATTGCGTATGAACGAAGTCCACATAGGACTGATCCAATTGGCTCATGTTCGTTTTAAATTCTCACCAACATTTGACGAGAATGCTCTGATTTGCTTTTACAGCATCGTAATTAACAAACTCATCATCACCCAAACTCTTGTGCTTTGCGTATAATGCTGTATGAATGAGTGCTGCCCAACGCTCGAATGGCCATCGCATCACTCGAGCCTGATTTTCAAACTCCCCGAAAAAATGTTCAGGCTCATAGTCAGAAAACAGAGGTACTACAACACAGATATCTGAACAGTGAAATTGTCAACCATAGTACGATGAGATTTTGCTTCCTCATTCTGAACTCGAGGTTGAATTTAACCAACTCGAGTGGCTAACGAAGTTGACTCCCCCCGAGCCCAATTCCGACTCACCACCCATTTCCCCAAATGGCTGTTGATCCAGTCACTCATGAGCTTGCCCTCCCCATAAGGATGAGTGATTAATAGCTCCAGTAGCAGAAGAAACCTCGGTTTGTTACACCATAATTACCTGTGTCAACTTTTAATCTGGTGTGTATACACTCACAAAGCTGTGCAGCAGTAAATGTTCGTTGATACTACAGCAACGCTGTAGAGACTGTCTAGGTATATGTTGCAGGGTATATTCAGTCATCAATCGCCTAACCTGTATCAGTGGCGTAATCCACTATCACAAAATTGTTTGCAGTACACTCCACACAACATGAGGGGACAGCACAGGTTGCAACGCAATAGTGAAGGTGAGCTCACAGAGACAATGAGAAACAAAACAGGTAGGCGCGTACAGACTATGCGGAAACAGACTGTAGGCAAGCTCGTAGAGACAATGTGCAGACTGTAGGCAAGCTCGCAGAGACAATTGTGCAGACTGGTAGGCAAGCTTGTAGAGACAATGCAGAGACAAACTCTTGGACAGGCTCCAATGTTACACGCTCAGGTGTAGATTATGGCCAGCACACCTTGCAGAAATGCTATAACCACTTAGGAATGAGCGAAAAAGCAGCAGAGAATAAGTGAACGTATTTCCTTCACCAAAATAAGCTGGTGTTTACAGAGTATATATGTTATGTGCAATATTTACAATTATGTACAATGCGACAAATGCAAGAACAAAACAGAGTTCAAACTGTGGCGACCATCAGGGAAGGCAAGTCAGTCAAAGATGCTTAACAAGTGTCCCACATCGCTTCACAGCTTTGGTGAGCTTCCGGTGTACTGGTATAAGGACGGGTTCACTTATTGTTCTAGGTTTAGCACCTGACTCACTAGCTGGGAGGCAGCCTATATGGGTGTACCTGGAGTTTACCTGTATGACATAAAATGTAATATAGTCTTAGCATGTCACAAGCTTGGAGCTAATCAGTGATTTATTCTGATTCAGGAATTACCTGATGGTATTTCGGGGTCATCTGAGTGATGTGACTCTGCTGCCTTCCAGTCTTATGATGCTCTACTTAGCTATAGTGAGTGATGACCACGCTCGCCACCTCCTGCCACAGCTGCACTCTCTCGTAACACAACTAGAGTATCTTGATGACCTAGGTAAGTGTTTCACTATTTTGAGTATTGTACGTGGTGGTGTTAGTGATGGTTATTGTGGAGAACTGAGTTCTGATGCCACTGGTGGTGTTAGTGATGGTTATTGTGAAGAACTGAGTTCTGATGCCACTGGTGGTGTTACTGATGGTTATTGTGGAGAACTGAGTTCCGATGCCACTGGTGGTGTTAGTAATGGTTATTGTGAAGAACTGAGTTCTGATGCCACTGGTGGTGTTAGTGATGGTTATTGTGGAGAACTGAGTTCTGATGCCACTGGTGGTGTTAGTGATGGTTATTGTGAAGAACTGAGTTCTGATGCCACTGGTGGTGTTAGTGATGGTTTATTGTGAAGAACTGAGTTCTGATGCCACTGGTGGTGTTACTGATGGTTATTGTGGAGAACTGAGTTCCGATGCCACTGGTGGTGTTAGTAATGGTTATTGTGAAGAACTGAGTTCTGATGCCACTGGTGGTGTTAGTGATGGTTATTGTGAAGAACTGAGTTTCTGATGCCACTGGTGGTGTTAGTGATGGTTATTGTGAAGAACTGAGTTCTGATGCCACTGGTGGTGTTAGTGATGGTTATTGTGAAGAACTGAGTTCTGATGCCACTGGTGGTGTTAGTGATGGTTATTGTGAAGAACTGAGTTCTGATGCCACTGGTGGTGTTACTGATGGTTATTGTGGGAAACTGAGTTCCGATGCCACTGGTGGTGTTAGTAATGGTTATTGTGAAGAACTGAGTTCTGATGCCACTGGTGGTGTTAGTGATGGTTATTGTGGAGAACTGAGTTCTGATGCCACTGGTGGTGTTAGTGATGGTTATTGTGAAGAACTGAGTTCTGATGCCACTGGTGGTGTTAGTGATGGTTATTGTGAAGAACTGAGTTCTGATGCCACTGGTGGTGTTACTGATGGTTATTGTGGAGAACTGAGTTCCGATGCCACTGGTGGTGTTAGTAATGGTTATTGTGAAGAACTGAGTTCTGATGCCACTGGTGGTGTTAGTGATGGTTATTGTGAAGAACTGAGTTCTGATGCCACTGGTGGTGTTAGTGATGGTTATTGTGAAGAACTGAGTTCTGATGCCACTGGTGGTGTTAGTGATGGTTATTGTGAAGAACTGAGTTCTGATGCCACTGGTGGTGTTAGTGATGGTTATTGTGGAGAACTGAGTTCTGATGCCACTGGTGGTGGTGGCTGACAAATGGTGGTCCTAGAGATAAAATGTTTTTTTTTTTATGTGTGTAATGTTGTTGGTGATGGAAGTGGTAGTGAGGGACTGTGTATTGTATGTTACTGTATGTGATGCTGTTACTGGCACAAGTGGACGCTTTATTCTTAATACTAGTAGTTGTATGAGTAAACTGTCTTGCTTTTTTTGTAATGCGGGTTATAATTTTGCTACTAATTCGTTAGAAGTATTGGTAAAAAACTGGTGGTTCGAATTGTGTTACTAGTGGAGGTGCAAGACGTGAACTGTGTTTTGTCTCTTATTCTGTGTGAAGGTGCTAGTGATGGTGCTGGTGTTGATGCTAGTGATAGTGCTAGTGATGGAGTTAGTGTTGGTGTTAGTATTGTTGCTAGTGATGGTGCTAATGTTGGTGCTAGTGATGATGGTAGTGATGGTGCTAGTGTTGTTGCTAGTGATGGTGCTAGTGACGGCGCTAGTGTTGGTGCTAGTATTGGTGCTAGTGATGCAGCTAGTGATGGTGCTAGTGTTGATGCTAGTATTGGTGCTAGTAATGGCGCTAGTGATGGTGCTAGTGTTGGTGTTAGAATTGGTGCTAGTGTTGGTGTTAGAATTGGTGCTAGTGATGGTGTTAGTATTCATGCTATTGATGATACTAATGATGGTGCTAGTGATGGTGCTAGTGTTGATGCTAGTTATGGTGCTAGTAATAATGCTAGTGATGGTGTTAGTGATGGTGCTAGTTGTTATGGGACTATGGGACCCAACATGTGTTTATGTATCTGTAAGTTACTCTGGGATACCTAATTATATTGAACTGATGGGGACTCAGCTCTGAAGGGCAGATCACTCTTATGACTGAGAGGCAGCTGAGTCAAGCCCGTTTTTCTCAATGTAATAGGTTATACTATAGACACACAGACACACAATTTAAATAAGTAGTTTATAAAGTTGTAATTCTTTTTGTGAAAGTAAAATTAAGGTGTGGTAGAATTGTGTTAACAAGGGAATTGTGCTTGGCAACAGTCTTTTGTTTTCGGTAGGTGTGGGAGGAGCTTAGCTAGGCTCCTCCCTCTCTCTCTCTCTCTCTCTCTCTCTCTCTCTGTTGATGGACTTCAAGCTGGCAGGACCTCTTGGTCCTTCTTCTATTTCTTTTGGGCATTATGTGTGCTCCAGGGGTGAGTTTTATAGCTTAAGTTGTGGCCACCATACCCAGGGTGACTAAAGTGTGTCAAAACACTGATTAGCCCAGAGATTAGTCATGAAGAGAGAAGGGCAAAGTTGCTGAGGTGCACCATGTGGGAGAACAGGTAGGGGTGTGTAGACTTATGTTTTGAATATGTGAGTGCTGTAATTATATATTCTGTACATATCTATTTAGAATACAGTTATATTTTTATAGTAGTAGTTTAAATAATCTGTGAAGAGGGTTGGTGGAAGGATATCAGAGACACTAAGGATGATCAGTCATGATGTAAGTATTACCCTAGACAGATAAGGCCATTAAGTAAGAAGCTACCACACACTAGAACATGTAGTGAGAACCTTACTATCAAAGAAATAAGATATACTAACGTAACACTAGTGTTGGTGCTAGGGATGGTGCTAGAGATGGTGCTAGTGATGGTGCTAATAATGATGCTAGTGAAGGTGCTAGTGTTGGTGCTGGTGTTGGTGCTAGAGATGGTGCTAGTGATGATGCTAGTGATGTCGCTAGTGATGGTGCTAGTAATGATGCTAGTTATGGTGCTAGTTATGGAGCTAGTGATGGTGCTACTGATGGTGCTAGTAATGATGCAGGTGATGGTGCTAGTAATGATGCTAATGATGATGCTAGTGATGTGCTAGTGATGATGCTAATAATGATACTAGTGATGGTGCTAGTGATGGTGCTAGTAATGATACTAATGACGTTGCTAATAATGATGCTAATGATGGTGCTAGTGATGGTGACACTAGTTAGTTTAGTTTAATATGTTTATTATGCACCCCATACCCATGTTGAAATTAAGACACATGTGCAACATCTGGGTATCTTTATTGTAGACGTTTCGCCATCCAGTGGCTTTATCAATACAAATTCCAGGACATAACTTGAAGACAGGAGAACTATGTACATAGTTCTACTGTCTTCAAGTTATGTCCTGGAATTTGTATTGATGAAACGTCTACAATAAAGATACCCAGATGTTGCACATGTGTCTTAATTTCAACTTGTCGGTATTGTATACCATTCTTGTACAAACCCATACCCAACCTGTGGGCGGTAGTCAAAAGATTACAGAGGTACATAATGGGTCCAGGGACTGGGCCTCAAAGTTTTGATAGCTGAGCAAGTTACAGAGGTAATGAATTCACAATTTACAAAGGTAATGAACTCACAATTTACAAAGGTAATGAACTCCAGGTAGGTCTAGTCACAATCATGACAAGTTACAAAGGTATTTACAGATTACAGATGGTACACAATGGGTCCAGGGACTGGGCTCCAAAGTTTTGATGGCTGAACTAGGTACAAGGTAAAAGAACTCACAAGTTACAAAGGTAATGAACTCACAAGTTACAAAGGTAATGAACTCACAAGTTACAAAGGTAATGAATACTGTAAGAATGGTTACTTACGTTCATACATGGCTGCAATCATGAACAAATTTTAGAGTAATGAGCAATTCACACTTCCACACCCGGTCACAACTGTAGTGAGTTATTGGTGCAAATATTGATTGTTGAGTCACACACACACACACACACACACACACACACACACACACACACACACACACACACACACACACACACACACACACACACACACAGAGGGGACACAGGGACAAGGGGTCACAACTGGAAGCTGAAGACTCAGACGAGTCACAGGGACGTTAGGAAGTATTTCTTCAGTCATAGAGTTGTCAGCAAGTGGAATAGCCTAGCAGTGAAGTAGTGGAGGCAGGAACCATACATAGTTTTAAGAAGAGGTATGAAAAAGCTCAGGAAGCAGAGAGAGAGAGGATCCAGTAGCGATCAGTGAAGAGGCGGGGCCAGGAGCTGAGTCTCGACCCCTGCAACCACAATTAGGTGAGTACAATTAGGTGAGTACACACACCACACACACACACACACACACACACACACACATATACAAATTCATACACATACACACACACATAAACACACACACACACACACACACACACACACACACACACACACACACAACACACATACAAATTCTCATACACACACACACACATAAACACACACACACACACACACACACACACACACACACACACACATACACACACACACACACACACACACACACACACACACACACACACACACACACACACACACACACACATACACAAACTCATACACACACACGCACACACACTCATCACACACACACACATACACATTCACACGCACACACAAACACCCACACAAACACACACACAAACACACACACACACCCACACACACAACACACACACACAGGGAGCTTGGACTCGACCCTGCAATCTCAACTAGGTGAGTGCACACACATACACACACACACACACACACACACACACACACACCACACACACACACACTACACACACACACACACACACACAAACACACATTACAAACACACACACACACACACACACACACACACACACACACACACACCACACACACACACACACACAATTGGCTCCTGGAGTTCAATCCCACAAGTGCAAAGTCATGAAGATTGGGGAAGGCAAAGAAGGCGCAGACGGAGTACAGTCTAGGGGGTCAGAGACTACAAACCTCACTCAAGGAAAAAGATCTTGGGGTGAGTATAACACCAGGCACATCTCCTGAAGCGCACATCAACCAAATAACTGCTGCAGCATATGGGTGCCTAGCAAACCTCAAAACAGCATTCCGACATCTTAATAAGGAATCATTCAGACCCTGTACACCGTGTATGTTAGGCCCATATTGGAGTATGCGGCACCAGTTTGGAACCCACACCTAGCCAAGCACGTGAAGAAACTAGAGAAAGTGCAAAGGTTTGCAACAAGACTAGTCCCAGAGCTAAGAGGTATGTCCTACGAGGAGAGGTTAAGGGAAATCAACCTGACGACACTGGAGGACAGGAGAGATAGGGGGACATGATAACGACATACAAAATACTGAGAGAATTGACAAGGTGGACAAAGCCCAGGATGTTCCGAGATTGGACACAGTAACAAGGGGACACAGTTGGAAGCTGAAGACACAGATGAATCACAGGGATGTTAGGAAGTATTTCTTCAGCCACAGAGTAGTCAGTAAGTGGAATAGTTTGGGAAGCGATGTAGTGGAGGCAGGATCCATACATAGCTTTAAGCAGAGGTATGATAAAGCTCACGGCTCAGGGAGAGTGACCTAGTAGCGATCAGTGAAGAGGCGGGGCCAGGAGCTCGGACTCGACCCCCGCAACCTCAACTAGGTGAGTACAACTAGGTGAGTACACACACATATGTACACATGTGGTAATGCTTTATTTACAGCTAGCAAAGTCAGGGTATTTCTCCAGAATGGTCTGTAATATTCCATTGTGGTTAAAATACTTACCCTTTTCTTGAAAACTTTTTGGAGTGTGTTTTTTTCCAAATTCATTTTTTTTAAACCCGCACTCCAGTAAATTTTGGACGCGGGTGTGAAAATTGGGTAAATCTGGCAAAATTTTTACTTTTTCGTTTGGTTAAACTTTTTTGGTTTGGTTGTGATTTTAACCCTGCCAATGTTTCTTGTAACCCAGCCAGACCCCGGGCCCGGGGTAGTAAAACCCCAAAGGGTTTTTGTTTATTTTTTTGGGGATGAAACCATAGACATGTGGCTCCCCCGGGCATGTTTAAAAGGGAAGGTTAGTTGGACCCACTGGTGTAAAATCTCCCTAAAGCCTTTAAAAAGTCCAAAAAATTCAATTTGATGTTCTTTTCGTATTTTTTTTCCCAAACTATTTACCTGACATACCCGTTTGAAATTTA